CGCCACGCCGCGCCACGCCACGCCACGCCACGCCACGCCACGCCACGCCGCGCCGCGCCACGCCACGCCACGCCACGCCACGCCACGCCACGCCACGCCACGCCACGCCACGCCACGCCACACCCGTGTGCGAGTTGATTATCTTTCCGCTCCGCGCCGCCGCCACCGCTAGCTGGCGGATCGGGCGGGGGCCGAATGGGATTGGCTCTCACCGGGGGAAAAAGTGTAGCACATGAGGACTTGGGGTAATGTGCCTGGCGCCGCCTGGCGCCACTAGCGCGCGCGTGGCCTCTCAGCCCAAACAGCGGTGCGCGAGCGAGAGCGAGACTGCTAGGGTTACCCCTCTCCCTGTACCCTCCTTCCCTCCCTCCCTCCCTCCCTCCCTCCCTCCCTCCCTCTCCCTCTCTCTCTCTCTCTCTCTCTCTCGCCTGAGGATTCGGTTGAGCCACTCTTCCTGCCGTAAAAGAACGCCACGCTCCCCACCGCAGCGCGGCGACGGGCTGCGACAGTCATTTTCCGAATGGGATGAGAAATTAACGCTCCCTCAGCCCGTCCCACGCCCCAACCGCACCCCTAAAAAAAAAAAGTTCCGTCAACTGAAAGAAAACGCAAACCCGTCCCACCCCAGCAGCCGTGGAGGGCGGCGGGAGTGCGGTAGAGCGGGAGAGGAGATGAGAAGGAGGGCGAGATAGGGTGGGAGGAGGCGGGGGCTATGCGCACCGCCGTGAGATTACAGCGCGGGATGACGACGGTGTGGGAGGGGGGAGCGTATTGCTGTACGAAATATGGCGTCCCGGCGGCCCCCGTGGCCCGTCCCGCCGCGGCCCGCCCAGCAGCCCAACTCTTGGGTTTCCGCCTCCCCCTCCCCACCTGTAGGAGCCACTGCCTGTCCTGTTTCGCGACTCGCGCGCCGCGGCCGGGGGACTGCTATGGTCCACCTTTGGCCGGGGGGGGCCTCCCTTTCTTGCTGGTCCGGCGGGACCGCAGCAAGTTTGCGGCTGCGGGGTCCGGGAGAGAGGGAGGGGGGGCGGGTGTTCTTGTTCGGCTGCCCCCCCC